CTTCAAAACTGGAGCTCAGAAGACGATCATAAACTTTTCTGAGAAAGAAAACATGACTATAATAATAATGATGATGAGGATGAGGATGAATAAAGTCCAACATTACAAATAATCAATGATTAATAGTAAACCTTCCAGTTCTGTTTCTTACTTTTGTTTCCAACAAAGGCAGAGAGTCAAACACGGCTGCACACTCAGCTCTCCCTTGCGTTAATCTTTCACTGTGAGGAGAGAAACTATAAATCACAAAAACATTGGTTTTCTGTTTCACTGCAGTCAGCACTGAGCTTTACACCTTCACTGCATTTTCTCCTACAAATACAGAACATTTCATGTTTTCTGAAACTTCCTGCCTGCAGATATTTTGCTGCTCAATGTTATTTATATAAAAACAAACAGCTGCTTGATTCTTGATGACTAACAGAGTCACGTTAACAATAGTTTGTTAATTTTGTGAGTAATTCTCCAGCTAGAGGGAAGTCTGGCAGCAGAACAATTAAAGTTTGTTTTTCTAACCGTCCTGAATCTTCCTCACATTGAAGGAGAAAGCTGATTCCCGTCTGCGGAGGACGCCTTGCCCTTGTTGGTGTGAAGTCAGTGAGCCATAAGTGGGCGCCAGCTGCTTCCTGCTGACTTTTCATGGTGAGTCAGCCATCATTTCATCTGTATTTCACAGCTTAAAGGGACGGTATGATCTAAAATCAACTTTTTCTTAAGCTTTAAATCTGGTTAATATGTTATTCTTTCATCTAAAACAAACCAGAAGCGTTGATTTCATTCTTTCATGTCTGTTTGAGGAGTGCTTTAATCTCCATGATAACCATCTCCCTAACCCTAAAGCCTGGGTGGATCTAGCCCTGCCTCCATTCACAAAGCTCCTCCCCCTCTCAGCTCCAACAGACTAGCCAGCAACAATTAGCAAATACCCAATTGAACAAACTACTTCTTAGTTAAAACTTCTTAGTAAAAACTTTGCTAAAGGGATAATAGAGGAGCCATGTTGGGATGACTTCCAGGAGGCAGGGCTTCAGACAGAGCAGGAATTTCTTAAAGAGATAGAGTCCCAATTTCAAGATGTGTAATTACAAAGTAAGATCTCTTTTAAGTCACATCTGATACAGACAACATTTTTATTCAAATTCACATTCAATTCAGTAATAATTTATTGATCCCAAATGGAAATTAAATGTAGTAATAAATCATTAATTTAAATTCTTCAGTTTTTGTAGATGGTGAAAGCTGTTGGCAGGAAAGATCTCCTGTAGCAGTCTTTGTTACAGCGAATCTGAAGAAGCCTCTGACTGAAGATATTGTGTTTTTCTTTCATGAAGAAGATGGTCAGGGTTGTCCATAACTTTCTTGATTCTAACAAATAAAGGCAACATAGTAATTCTATTGTGCTTTACAATTATACCAACCCTTTAAGAACCAGAAGAATATCTAAGATTTTACATTTTAATTCACCATTTTGTAAAAATGAAGCATTATAGCTTTAACTTTGATGCTCCACTCTATCCATGAAACTTTATTAGAAATTGCTTTGGGTTTATTTCTAATGTAACAAAAATGGAAAAAGGGAAAAAAGAAAAGGAAGAAAGGTGGGGAAAAAAATTTCCTGCACTGCAAAAACAAAATCTTACCAAGTATATTATATAAGTATATTCAAAGTATATTCAATAGTCATTAATGATTTAAAAAGGCAGATTATTTACCTATACAATGGAAATATGTGAAATAATCCACCAGCATAACTCAACCTTTTTCATCAATATAAAGGCATTATTGACTTTTAATTCTCTGTGTTACTTACAGTTTAATTTAATCTTTTCGTAAGATTCTGTGTTTTTGCAGTGTGGAAATCTGCTTCTGCATCTTGCAGAAAGAGAGGGAAAAACAAAGTAATAATATCAGCATATAACAATAATAACTATCAACTAATCAACTTAATGTATTATTAATGTCTGTTTCTGATTTATAAATTTGCCGATGTGGAAGTGATTTGAACACATAATTACAGTTATTTGAGGAACTGTTTCACTACCTTTATATAAAATCTGTAGGGAAAATGTCTAAAATCAACGAGATCCTAAACAAAACAAGTGAAAAAAAATATTTTTCTTAAATGCTGAGAAGGAAAACCAGGTTTCAGGGAGCATGAATTATGGATCTTCATTTGAAATTCAGTCTTTGACCTCATTCAGCCGAGTCCAGTTCTCTGAGCTGTATGCAGGGGAACTGAATAATGATCTGAATAAATATGAAACAGGTTATTGAGAAGCCGGTTCCCCTTTTTAAAATGGATTGAATGAACTTAATGTATTATTTATGAATAATGTAATAAATCCTGCCTGGAAGGTAGAAATATTACAGCAGCACATCCCCTTCATTAAGCAACAATTAGCATTTTTCTGCAACCAACTATCTGTAGAAAAAGTGAAATCTCATTTTAAATTAGTTCTTTGTTTACCCAAAATTTGTGGGAATTTGTTAAAAATCTCAAACAAAAACAATCAACAAACATTGAAAGATCTGCACTAAAAACAGAAATAAAAGCATAGAAATGTAATAAATGAGACGGAAATAAAAAAAGACCAGCTGACGATGCTGAATGCTTTTCCAAATGGACGGTGACATTTAGGAGCCTAAACGCCTGCCTGTCAGAAATTAAAGTCTTTTGTTCTTAGCTCCTGAGGCATGTGGCGCCTATAAAAACAAAACATTGTGGGTGTTTTTTTTAAACGGATTGTGTATTTATCTGGGCGTTTCAGTGACTGGTGACCTGCTTTCAATGCCAGAATGGAAACCCAGCTGAATGAGGGACTAATTAGATTAACGCGCATCTTAAACAGGGATTCTGGGTCACATTGGTCACAGTGGTAGGTGGATGCAACGGCTCACTTCAATGCTCTAAAGCTGTTTCCAGAAACGTCACCAGCGTAATAAAGAGAGGAGTAAATTTATGCTCAAAATAACCCTGAATATTTGAGATTAATCTCAGAAATGATCTAGAAAAAACAAGGAAATGTCTGAACTAGAAAAGTCAAATATTAGCAAAATTGTTTTGATAAATTTTGACATTAATCTAACATAATTCACAGAAAAAATAAGGAAATATTTGATTTTGGAAAAATCAACAAATTGCAAGGCGTAAACTCAGGAATTTTGAGATTCATTTCAGAATTTTCTAGAAAAACAAGAAAACTTATGAGATTAAAAAGCCAAAAGAAATTCTAGAAAAATCTTAGAAATTTTCAGAATAATCACTAAAATTTTCTATAAAAATCTTGGAAAGTTCTCAGTTTGAGACGCTAAAAATTCACAAGAGAAAAAAATCAGACATTTTTAGATTAATCTCAGAAATGTTCTGGAAAAAAATGGACATTTATGAGATTGAAAAGTTTAAAATTTACTAGAAAAAATAATGAAAATTTTATTTCAGAACTTTTTTTTAGAAACATCTGGAAATTTCTGAGTTTGCAAAGATGAAAATTTGAAAAAAAAATTCATAAATTTTAACTTTAATCTCAGAAATTGCTGAGAAGTGTATCTTAATTTAGAGTTAGATTAGAAGAAAATGAAAGAGCAATTTCTTGCAGAAGAAAAAACAAATCAGTCATCTTTGGTTTTCAGAAAACGTCAAACTTTCTGTAAAAACTGAGTGGCCAGCATTTATTTTCTGGCTGTGATTAATATTTATTTTTCACCCGGAGATAAATAATTTTCGTAATCAGGTGAACCGCTGGTAATGGCGTCTCATTAGCTTCTATTTATAGCCGAGGAGACCAGCGAAGCATGGAGGACAAGAAACAATGTTCCCTCCTTTTGGTTCTTTCTCCTCATATCAGGACAACGTGTGTGTGTATGTGTGTGTGTGTGTGTGTGTGTGTGTGTGTGTGTGTGTGTGTATGTGTGTGTGTGTGTGTGTGTGTGTGTGTGTGTGTGTGTGTGTGTGTGTGTGTGTGTGTGTGCGGGCGCGCACGTGTGTGTGTGTGGCCTCAGAGCCCAGATTTCCAGAAAAAACTCTTATTTTTTCCTTTTCACGCTGTGTGGATGCATCCTTCCTCATGAGGACATTCGTAAACAAACTGATTCCTCTGCTGGGTAACTGTGGAAGAAACAGACCATAAATTCTCAGGCCGACATAGTAACCTCATTGTGAGACATGCAGCAACACACACACTCACACACATGCACACTAATGCAGTTCATTAGTTGTGCAGCCGAGGGAGTCGAGGCGATGTGAGGAGTGAGAAGGTGACTTTGCGGCTCTTTCAGAGAAGAGTTTCCTTCAGGTTGTTCTGGCCTTTATTGCCACATCTGCTGCATTTCTAACAATATTAGACAAACCTGAAATATCAGATATATAATCCTAAAAGTTCAGTTTGAAATTGGATCCACATTTCTCATCTCAAACTTGCAAAACCACCTGATATCTATGAGCTGCGAAAATCTAATTTCCCTTCATTTATGTGAGAAAGAGACATTCTAAATAAAAAAAAAATACTGACTGTCCACAAAACATTTGACATTTGAATTGCAATACATCCTTTTTTACATTTTAATGTTTAATTCAGCGTCTCGCTACCACAAAGGAAAAACTACATTTTCCATATTATTGAAAATGTAAATTATCTTTAAGTGTTGGTGTAACAATTCATGTTTTCACCACTAAATCAGAAAAGAAAATAATCAACACAAGATTTTACCATTGAGTTAAGTCAGATTGTGTTTAGGAAAGTTTAGGTTTGTGTTTTATACTGAGTTAAGTTGATTATGTAAAAATAAATCAAGAGATAAAACAAAATGGATTTTTCCTGTTAGGGTTAAGGTTAGGGTTAGGTTGTTCGTATGTAGCTTCATCAAAGTACAATCCTTCACCAAATTCAAGTTTATTTTACTGTGTAACAGAATGAAGGAATGAATGAATAAAAAAAGCAAGAACAAGCAAGTTAAAAAAATAATTAATAAGTGGGTAAAGTTGATGGCAGATTACATAGAAAAAAATTAAGTAAATTGAAAAACAAAATCAATCATTTTTTTGATTAATCTCAGAAATAATAATTTAAAACATACATTTGAAACATGTTTCATAAATTAAACCTCATAAACTATAATAAATAAATAAAATTTAAAAAATCACTGCAGAGTTTCATCGCCATAATTTATTTCTCCCAAGTTAAATAACTGTGACATCACAAAGGTCGTCACCTTCTGTTTTAATGACACAAACAACATTATGCAAAAATAAAACCTAACATTTCAAACAACTGATTCCAAAAATAAGCAGCATTATTGTTGGAATCTGAAATTTTATTATTAATATTTATTTATTGACAAATTGTAGTTAAAGGTTCAACTTTGGAAACTTTTTGTTTCCATAAAACAGTTTTATGATTCTTCTGGAATCATAAAAACAGCATCTAAAAAACTATTTTATTTTATTTTTATTGGCAAAGCATTGAACAATGTAAACAGATGAATAATTGAAACATCATCAACATGAATCAAATGGAACAAAAATACTCAGAGAAAAGGAAAACAACAAAAGTTATAAAAATATTTTTGGAAAAACTGTTTTAATTTTTGTTTTGTTTCTAATTTTGTAATCTTTACCGATACTTCTGTGGTTTTTACCACCATAATTTTTTTATGGTAATTTAATTAATTAATTATTTTTTATCACTTAAAATAAAATAAATTATTATGCATTCACGGAAGGAATGACGTCTTATGTTTGAAATGTGAAGATCATTAAGATGCAAACAGAATGAGGTTAAAGAGACAATTTAAACAGATTGCAGAAAATATTATGGCATAAGGAGCAAGGATGATATTGTTTTAAATATTATCCCTTGTTTTATTTTATTTTTGAGAAAAATAAGCGTTACACTCTTATGTAATTTCTATTAAAATAAAATAATAGAAAATAAAAACTTGTCAGGCACTGTCAAAGTAAAATAGATGGTTTAGTTTTTGTAAGTTTTTTGCTTCGGAAATAAAATTCTGCATTTTCTGCCTTGAACTGAATCACTTTTTATTTTATCAGATAAAATTGTCTGTTATTTACGGTGACAGCAAGAAAATATGCATCAGTAATTGTGTTTCCATGTGATTGAGCAAATTGGAACTTTGAAAATAAATGTACTTAATGGAAAAACAACAATTTATGCTTTTTAATGAAAAGTTGTTGCATTAGGATGAGTTGGTTTTTTTATGGGTTGTATTGAAATGAGTTTATATGCAAAACTGCAATGGAAATTTTTTTTTGCCTCATTTAACAGGATTTTGCTACTGGTGGAAACGACAAAAAAGACAACAGGAAGTGGTAGCTTGAATGTTTTTTTTTTACTTTTTATTGTGTGAACAAACTTATTCACATAATTTTTTATTGAATTTTTAATTTAATGGAAACACGACAATTGTCAAATTGTTTTTTCTTCGATAATAATAACCAAATTTTGTAACGCGCCTAGTGTTGTATTAGAATAAAATTACTGTACTTTATGAAAAGCTCAGGGCCGATCAGATTATAGAAATTAATCACATCCAATGAGTTTGTGGCAAGCTATTTTATGGCCAGTTTGGTGGGGTTTTTTTATTTTAAAAGCCACTAAGTGTGTTTAGTTGAAAACTACTAGAACTTATATTGCATGCAGTCGACTGGATGCATCACCTAAAAGCAAAGAAACTCAGATTACAGACCCAAGAGAAGAACGATTTTATCAGTTTGTGGTAAACATGCTGCTGCTGTGTTTGTGTGCTTTAGGTCCCTGTGTCCTCTCGCTTTAAAAATCGGTTCATGCAAATCAGGTTATCTCGTGGAAATTCAAATATTTCAGCTGCAAATCAACTAAAATATCTAAATTATGATCCAGACATAAATGCATCCTCTCTAAAATCTTTTTGAATCTGAGGTACTTTACCAGGATTTTTTTATTTTTTTAAAAATAATGTAACAACAAGGTTGATTTCAAAATGATTACAAATGAATCAGTTTGCAAAAGCTGTGCAGCAAAGTAATTCACAGAGATGCAGAAGATGATCTGTTTTGACATTTTTTGGTTTAATACTCACAGGCGTAAGTATCATAACTGTTTTATAATCAAGTGAGAAAAAAAAAATCACCAGTGAATGAATTAACGTTTTGGTCCACTCACGTATAAAATCTTCTAATTTCCCTTCATGTTTCTAACTTTAACTTGCCAACCATGTTCTCCCTGTGCAGTCAGGATAAAATCATGAAAACAAGCTGCGATGTTAATGGATGGCATGTCAAAAATATTGATTTCAGCTTGAAAAACTAGCGGCCCGGGAACCAAAATGTCGAGCCGGGTTAGAAAGTCATAGCCCTAAAACTCAGCTTACAAACTGAATTTTAAAAAATAAAGAAATCAAAGTCAGTCTGGTTGAAGAAGCAAAAACCCACTTAAAGTCGAACCGTCTGCTCCTGCTTCCAGGTCCGACTGCGGCAACGCTTTATTGTGAAGGGTCTGCAAAAGACTGACATACTGACTGTAATAACATGAACGAGTCTTCATGATTGTGTAAGACTGTTGTTATGAAAATAAGGTTATTTTTTAATGAAAAAGGTGCATTAAAAGTCAATTGAAAGTGTCAACTTTGCATTATTTGGAAAGTAAATAATGAAAATGTCATACTTGCATTATTCAGCAAATAATTAAATTTTAAAGAAAGGTTTTACCAGAAGGTGAATTAAAAATGCATTATAAAGTGCTAACTTTGCATTATTTGGGAAATAATTGCACTTTTATAGCAAATTGGCAATAAAACCTGCATAAAAAGTCCAGTAAAAGTGTCAACTTTGCAATATGGAATACAAATAATTAAACTTTTAAGGCAAAAAGGCAGAAACTTGCATTAAAAGTCAATTAAAATTGTTAACTTTTAATTCTTTGGAAAATAATTCAAATTTTAATGCAAAGTTGCATTAAAAGTGTCTTCTTTGCATTATTCAGAAAATAACACTTTTAAGGCAAAGTTTTACTAAAAGTTGAATTGAAGTCAATTAAAAGTATCAGCTTTGGATTATTTGTTAAATAAGGACGCTTGTATTTAAAGTGTCTTTATTTACCGCCTGTCATTATTTACAGCCATAAACATTTAGACTCCTTCATGTTCATGTCAGTCTTTTGCACACTCCTTCCAATGAATGTTGCCAGACTTCCTGCTACGCTAGCAGGCTAGCAGCAGCCGTTTCAGATGTTGAACGCTGTTTCTTTCGTTCTCATGAATCTCATGTTGGCGTTTCAGTGGAACCCGGTTCTCCTCCCATCAACCACCACCAAATACATCTGACTCCGCCCCGGTCCTGACGGTGCGAACCGGTCTGCCGTTTCCCAGAATTCACTTTTTAACTGCCAGGATGGTCATCTGCAGACATTCCTCCTTCATGGCTAGCAGCTCAGTCTTGTAGCTGCTCGGCTTTCCCCCGTCTGCGTACACGCACGACGGCTTCTTTGTCGAAAGAGGTGTCTCCACCGTGACGGAGCCAGCGTTGAGTATGTCGGCATGCGACGGCGAGGACGACGAGCGCCTCTGGCACGCTGAGGACATTATGGCGTAAAGGGCGCGGCTAACGTCGTTCCTGGCACCCTCGTTGACGAAGCAGTACAAAATGGGGTCAGCGACACAGTTCAGGCTGGTTAGCGCCAGCGCTACATGGTACGCAGCAAACAGCGTCTCCTCTGAGCTACAGTCGCATGGCTTGTTGAGAAACATGGCGCTGCGCACCAAGAGCAGCATGTGGTACGGTCCAAAGCACAGCAGGACAATGAGAATCAAACTCAAGGCCAGCCGCTGGATTTTGGCTTTCTCCTGGCGCTCCGTGGAGACGTTGCATCGCACTGCGGCGAGGATCCCTCTGTAGGCGACCAGCATGGCTGTCCATGGCGTCAGGAAACCAAGGAAAGTCCTGTAGAGGTTCATTCCTGCCACCCAGTCCTGCATCGGGTACTTCTCGAAGCAGAAGGTGTGGTTGAAGCGGTCCTGGAAGAGTTCGTCGTGGAAGAGAGGAGCGGAGTTGGCGATAATCTCAATGATCCAGACGATGGCACTGACGCAAACGGCTGCGGAAAGACGAGAAGGGGAATCAGACTTCCAGTTCTCCACCATGATTTGCCCAATTTACCCTCTTTACTCAATGGATCATTTCAAAGATGCCATAAATCCCGTTTCCTGTCCATCATGAAAATCATGACGGTGTACAAAAAAACATTATTATTATTATTCAGAATAATAATAATAATGGCGCTGCGCACCAGCAGCGCCATTAATAATAATGTTATTATTAATAACATTAATAATAATAATGTTATGCTGCGCACCAGCATAACATTATTATTATTATTCAAAATAATAATAATAATGTTTTTTGCTGAAACTTAAGGATCAGTTTATGTTGCAGAATTATGCACCACATCGCGTTTGACTTCCACATTTCACTTTTCTCAATGTACATTTTAAATATCAATATATCAACAAAACTACTTATCAATAATGTTAGAATAAAATGGCTGACTAAAGTTTCCCCAAAGCGCAGCAAAAGTAGCTGCTTCTGCTAATGTGCTAGTAGCAGAGCTAATTTTTTGACCCTGATCCTGAATAAGTTCCTTAAGACACAGCACTCCACAATCTGCAAAAGTTGAATAAAAGAGGCACTAAAATGGTGCCCTGAGGAACCCCACTTGTGATCTGTATTTACTCATATTTACAATTTTGAAATCACAGAAAGCTGTTCTTTTTTGTCTTCAAAACGAATTCTTCTATCCACAATGTAACAGTCTAATTTTCCCTCTGTTGTCTTATGAAAATCCTACCTGTCTTGATTCGCCGGACCTTAACGAAGCGCATCGGATACGCCACAGCCAGGTACCGGTCCAGGGATATACAGCACAGGAAGGCAATGCTGACGTAGATGTTTGTGTAGAAGATGAAGCCGAACAGTTTGCAGCTCTCCTGCCCATGGATCCAGTCGTCGTGCTGCAGGAAGTAGTCGATCCACAGAGGAAGAGTGATGATGTAGAGGAGGTCGGCCACCGACAGGTTGATCAGATAAATGCCGAGTTCGTTACGCTGACGTACCTGAACTCAGGTAAGAGCAGCAAAATAAAAAGCAGCAACAAATTAAACAGTATTTGGTAAGAAGTCTACTCAAGAACTGAGTAACTGATCAAATGATCAATCATTTAATATTTAAAAATTACATAATCAGACAAAATGTAAAGTGAAGTGGAAATTTGGGTATTTTAAGGATGAAACGATTGATTGAAACATCAAAACCTACCCAGTGTTTTTCTTACGTCGGAGAATCTGCTCGTTCTTTAACAGGCGGGAGGTCAATTCAGTTAACTAACAATAAAAGCTGCGTGTTTCTGTCACATGCAACCAAACACGGAAGCAGGCTTGTGACTAAGCGTGTTTGTGCCTTCAACAATCGGCTTCAAAATTCATCCCACATGTTGAAATTGAAGACAAACAACAATTTGAATGAATGAAAAGTCAATAAGAGTCGTTCCGGCTGCTGCCAAAGCAAACGGAGAGTCTGTGGGAAGTAAAACTCTGGATATGTTTGATGCTGGATGGGAAAATATCCCCGGGCTGCTGATGGGATCTAACCGGCGGTGTGAGACGTGTGAGTCTGAGGTTCAGCGATGCGTTTCGCTGCGTCTATTTCTGAACCGCTAACTGGTTTTAGCGCTAACTTCCTGTTGGGCTGCGGATGGCCGTTAGTTAGTTGAATTGTTCAGTAGCTAATTGTTGTTGTTTGTATTTTCATGTTAAAGATTTAGTTTAAATAATCAATTCTCTGCTGTATAATGCGTCCGATCATAATCAAATTCAATAAATGGTTTTTTTAAAGATGAATCTTCTGCAAAGACTCAAATCCTAATATTCCAACACATTTGTATTCAAGTAAAAGTATTTGGTAAAAAGTACACTCAAAAACTCAATCATTTAATATTTAAATTTATATTTGTTTTATTTATTTTGATAAAAAAACTGAGGAAACTTTTAACAAAAACTGCAGGTTTTTGTCTCTGTTTGGTTAAAACATGTTTATTTTTCATTAATCCTGAAATGTTTCTCAAATAAGAGCAATACTTCACAATAAAGTATTTGTACTCAAAGTAAAAATACTCCCTAAAAGTACATTAGCTTGAGTGACTTTTTTTTGTAAACATGTAATTTTAGGAGTATTTTTTTTTACTACTCTATACTTTCAGTCATTTTATTTTACCTCACAAGTGACATCTAATCCAGATGCAGGAGTTTGTTTTTAGACAATAATTCCTGAATTTTGATGGAAAAGTAGAAACTCAGATTATTTCACTTCTAACAGGAAATTAATTATTTACTTCAAACAAGCTCCTCTATATTTCTGAAAAGTTACTCTTGAGTTAATTTTCTCTCGTTTCCAGCGAACCAGGTTGCCTGCAGCAGAATCACTTGGTGATTATTTGGCGTGTTTCGTCGTGTTTTTGCCGTTTTCCGTCCTCACCTGCATGTACGCGGCCCACAGAGCCATGCAGTTGGTGGGAAGCCCCAGAACGATGACTATGATGTACAGAGTGGGCTGGAAGAACTGGTCCACCTTACTGTCCACATTACAGAAGGAGATGTTGCACATTGTCCAGCGTGGAGCTCTGTTTGCTGAGGTCGTTTGGGTTCAGCTCTGCTCCCTCTGTGTCTTCACCCGGTTCCAGCTCCGGCAGCCCGACGGCGGCATGCCGACTCCCATTTCTCCCAAACCGACGCTAAGCCAGGAGAAGCGTAAGGAAGCGGAGGCAGAACACGGGAGGAAAGTCATGACTCCTCTGGTCTGAAAGGCCCGGAAGGCCTTCGCCTGTCCCGATCCTCCCCCAGGACCCGGAAATAAAGGCAGAGAAGAAGAAAGCCGCCTTATCGACTGGGAGCCAGGCGTCCTCTGCAGAGACCAGGCCTCATCAATCTTTTAGACCTGAGAGGTTCTGCTGTAACGTCGGTGTGTGTTTGGTCCCGACGACACATGAAACTCCGGAGGGAGGGTCGCTATCAAAAGACGGGGATGATTTTACAGACCATCAGCATCCTGACCCTGACGCGACATCCATTCACCCGGGAACAAACCTGCAACAGAGACGGAGGGAGAATTACTCCACAACCAACAGCTTAAAACCTCAGAAACGCCAAATAAAATGAAGGATCAGCTGTTTAAAATCTCCAACCGCTGCAGAAAAACTTTAGTTTCATTATTTGTAAAATCTTTTCCACAAAAAAACAACAAAAATCAATAACTTGATCCACAACCAACAGCATATTATCGATGAACCGATGGAAAATTCTGAGCCGATGTCGATATGCGATATTAATGTTTCTGCTAAATAATTTCTCAAACGTTCCGACAACTTTGGAAAAACCAAACAATAAACATAACAATAAATATCAGTTAGTTTTTATGCCAATATGTGAAAAAAAACAATTTCAGCTGATATATTGTGCATTTCTATAATTAATTAAAGATTAAGGCCTGTCAAAATAAGCATTATAACAATCACATGGCAAATTAAAATAAAGTCACCGATTTCCATTTTCATGATTTATTATTTCTCGACCGGATTATAAACGTCTTCAGTTGCATTTTGCTTCATAATTCGTTTTATTTGTTGTTTTGTTTATTTATGATGGATATTCAAAATGTCTTCCAGTTCCAGTGTAAAATGCTCATTTAATCATTAATTGATAATATCAAGTTCAGGCATTATTACTATGCCTTTATTACTACTATAATACCTGAAAACAGTTTTAAAACAACAATATTACCATTTATCACAATATTTTCTGGAGTAATTTATCATCCAGCAAAATGTTATTGTGACAGGCCTACACTGTAAATATGTTTCTAGTATAAATTTAGTTTGTTTTAAGTCTGTAATTTCTTAATATTGATTTTAAAAAATATATTTCCCCATAATATAAGCGAAAAATAATCAATATTGAGCAATTATTGACCTAAAACAATCTCTTATATTTGGCTGAAAAGTTACTTCTAAGTTAGTTTGTCTTATTTCAATATTTACACAGAAAACTAGACAAAAAAAAATACTGGAAGATTTTGAGTATTTTCAGTGTAAAAAGGATTTTTTGGGCTAATTTCTTGTTGCATGACCTTGGGCAGCTGCAAACATGACCTTGAGGATTGTGCAGTTATATAACCGAATGTATGCAGGGAGGAGGAGGAGAGTGAAGACGGGTTCTGGGTTTCTGCTTCCCCCATCAGTCACCTTGAACCCAGCAGCTGTTCTTACTGAATTACCCCAGGACTCGACGCTCAGGGGGAAGTTCAGCGACGAAGGAAGGGAAAGTTATGCAGGTCGACAAACCCAGGAAAACGGTGGAATTTGTCTCTGCAGCTTCTAGATCGCCGCCAGTCGGAGCCAAGATGGAGAATCTGGATATAAAAGTCGTTTCATTAAATGAAACATCCTGATTCCATCTGGTGAGTCTTTTTAACATTTATCACAGGTGAGTAGAGTATCCAAAACATTTACTCAGCTAAGAGGAGAACCACTTCAACATATTTTTACTCAAGTACTGAGTAACTGATTAAACTGCCAATCATTAACATTTAAAAATTACATCATCAAAATATACATTTAAGTGGAAATTTTGGTAATTTAAAGACCAAAATGACAATAATTCTTATGAGTAACGCAAAAATAAATAAAGAAAATGTTTCCAAAACAGTTTCTTTCAATAATAAACTTTAACAGAAACTGCAGCTGTTTGTCCATCAAACATGTTTGATTTTCAATCAGTGGGCAGAAAATCCAGAAGTTTGACTCAAGTAAGAGTAGAAATACATTAAATAATACGATTACTCAAGTAAAAATTTACCCAAAAGTAATTAAGAAAAGAAAAAAGTTACTCAAGTAAACAATTCAGTAAATGTATCCAGCTATAAATCCAATCTGAACTAGAACTTTATTTCCTTAAATTAAGCTCTGCATTTCGCTGAACAATTACTTGAAAGTTAGTTTTGTCTTATTGCAAGTGTGCGAAGATATTGGCAGTAGAAACTAAACCAAAAATGCTCGGTAATGTTTTGTGTTTTCGTCTCTTCGGTCTGCAGCGTCATTGGACATGTTGGTAAAAACATGTTTGGGGAAAAGAAAGCCATTTATTTCATGCGCAGCTGTTTGTGTTGTGCATTCAGTCTGGGAGCAGAGGAAGAGTCCAGAGTGTTTTCTTGCTAAACGGACGCAGCGAGGCTGCAGTGTCGGGTAAATAGCCATGAAGCAGCAGTTTCCAAAGAAGTGCTCCGACTCGCTGAGTCAGCGTTTGTTTCCTGGGTGGTAAGTCCAGGTTGAGCCCTCTGAGGCGTCTGTCACCAAAACAGGGAGAGAAAAACAGCTTCAGAGGACAGAAAAAGACGTTCGCTGGTGTGAAACGCAGAGCCGCCGCCGCAGACGCCAAAACAGGTCGGCTACGTAACGAGGAGGCTCAGCAACGACCTTGACGTCAAGCGTCTGCTGAGGAAACAACTAGTTGGATAACAGGAATGTTTTAGTAAGCAGGAGAAAAATCTCTGTGTGCTTTAATAGTATAAAATGAAGTAAAATTATTTTTTTGATGCTTTGGTAACAACAAAAAATTTTATTTTTAGCATTTTCTTTCTAAATATCTGCAGCCGCATGAAAAAAACAAGAAATTTGTCAAACATTAATAAAATATTAAATTTGCATCGACTTGTCGTTTATGCTCATCTTAAAGAAGTGGCATAAATTTCTGAATAAAAAATGCTTGATAAGTTCATCTATTTCAGTTGAGCCAATTCAAAAAAAGTGAACTATTTAAAAGTTCTGGATGGTTTTGGGTTGTAAACGTTCAGAAACAAAGAAAACGTTGAAAAATAAACTCCATGTTTTTTCAGTTTAATATTGTTTTGTCTCGACCAAATATTCACATATAATTAAAAATGTCAAGTCATCTTTGGCATTTAGTTCATGTACGACAAAAATTATCAAGTTAATTTAGGTTTGCAACACTTAAATCGCAAACCTCATTTGTTGTTATATTTTGGAGTAATCGACTCGTTTTGAGGCAACTGGTTTGCTTAGATTGAACTAAATTTAACACGTTTTCCTAGTAGCAAGGAATTAAATTAGGATTTTGAAATGCAGTGGCATGTAGGTGCGCCAAATTATTTTGAGTATTTGAAAGCAACACCAGCCGATAAACCAACTTTTTTATATCCTCTATTTCCCCAAGAGTGGAGAGAGATATTAAATCATATAAATCGTTTGTCCATGTGTAATGCCTTTTAGTTTGACAGCCATCTTGGTATGCAGTTGCTATGACAATAATCAACATGCTAGCTGAGAAACTAGCTCTCACCCCGTTCCTAACTTATAAGCAGTTTAAAGACATTACAACTATTACTCGATTGCAATTTTTGCCGCTTTAGCTGCTTCACCGACCGCAAACTGCTAAGCTAGCTTCCTCTTCGGTTACCTAGCAACAACCCGTTGAGGGAACTTGCGCAGCAACGGTTTCATGTCTTACCAATGGGCCTCATAACTGGAAAAAAGTGGCACAAAAAGAGATGAAGCAGTGCAAATTGAGAGCAGATGAACTACTGCTGAAGAGTTTTCTGTTTTCAACAGCTGTTTGTGGTTGTGCGTAAACGATCTGATCAATAGCAGAGGCAACCCGCTGATTAGGCCCAGCGGGGCGGGTTTCCTTTTTCAGATGTTTAGGACTTTCTGTTGTTTTCTGGCTTTTCTTTAATCTGCCAGGTCAGATCACAAGTCAAAACAAGATAATAACAGACCTGCTACAGCCCTGCTGATTGCAGTAATCACTGCCTGCCACTTTTGGAAACAACTGATACATGAAACCTTTTACTGTAATGAGACAGACAGCCAACATGTGCAAATAGACCATATAATAACCATAATGACACTCAGCCTTAACAGGCCTGTTTTTACAGTGCATGGCGGTGGAGTATTTTGTGCTTGTTCTTCTTAGACAGGAAAACAACAAATTTCTATGTTACTACATTTAAAAACAGCTGGATCACTACTACTAGCTACTAATGTTTTACAAGGTCAAAGGTGAAAATGAAACGAGGACAGGAAGGAATGAAAAACAATGAAAGAAACTCTTTTGCTATGATATATATAGATTATATATAGAATTAATGTGGCACAATATTATTACAATGAATTTTCTTCCACATCAACACACTCATAATTTTTGCTTTTTGTCTATAAAGTAACACAACATGTTTCTGTTTGGTTTTGTCTGCATGATTCAGAGATTTGGACATTATGATTTTTACCAAACTTTCACAGAAAACGACTGAAACGAGACGTAAAAATCTAAAACCTTTTTCACACTTCATTAGATTTAGCAGACAAACTCAGAAAACTCTTTAAAATGTAAACTGGTAGAAAATTGAACAGTTCAACAAACAGCAACAGCTCAAAACAACAACCAGAATCTGGCACCGCAAATAAAGCTTGCGTTGTTTTCAGCGTCTAATAACGACATCGATTATTCCCAGTGTTTATTCTGCAAATGAAAATGATGACCAAAAAACGGCAAATGGATTTCTGAGACTTACGTCTTTAAGAAACAGGAAGGAAAATCCTGCAAAGACCAGAGAGACGAATTAGTGACAGAAACGGTTTTGAAACGAATCGCAGAGAGATGCTTCGGCAGATCAGGCAGGAAAAAAAATAAGAATTAATCTGAAAAATTATCCAGAAAAACCTGGAAAAGTTTACATTTTCCCAGAAAGTCAAAAAAAAGAAAAAAGATTAATCTTAAAAATTTTCTAGAAAAAAAACTTACATTTTCTGAGTTTAAAAAGTTGAAAATTGTGCAATTTTTTAAATTCTGAAATTTCCAAGATTTTTCTACAAAGTTTCTGAGATTAACTTCAACATTTTTGGATTCTTCAGCATTTTTTTTTAATCAGCAATAACTAATATGCTATTGTACATACTGTAGCTCTTTTGTAAAAATGGTTAACATTTTATGGCTAAATCTCAGAAATTTTCTGGAAAATACTTGGAAATTTCAGAGTTTTAAACGTAAGCAAGTTTTCAACTTTTGAAACTCAA